AGTAGAGGTGCAGTGATGCTGAGAAATGGCAATGAGGACAGAGACATCAGTGCATGCTCAGTTCAGGGCGTGTTTATTGGTCAGTTTACTGAAGTGCATCCAGACAAGGCTCAGGGTCAGAGACTGGTGGAGGCTGAGCTGGTCCTCGGGAGGGTGGGAGACATGGAGCGGGCACTGCCTGGAGGACTTCCTCGGAGCCCTTCAAGAGCCATCGCATCGAGTCTGGTCCTTCCACTTGTCCCGCTCAGCAGCAGGCTGGACCAGCAGCCAGCAGGCCTAAATGCCCGGGGCGTTTCAGGATGTAACATCAGCTTCCTATGGGGGGCCTCCTGACATGGGTTGGGACTGGATGGAAGAGTGGCTGGGAGAGCCACGGTCATGCGGTGGGACCTGAGCAGGGCTGGCCCTGGGGGGGGGGGGTGCCCAGGCAGCAGCAGGACTTCTAGCCAAGGCCGGGACTCAGCAGGATGGGCGGGAGCACACGGGGCGGCAGATCAAGGACACGCAGGAGGATGGGCGATAGCAGCTGGGACGGTAGCAGCTGGGACGGTAGCAGCTGGGGCGGTAACAGCTGGGACGGTAGCAGCTGGGACGGTAGCAGCTGGGGCGGTAGCAGCTGGGGCGGTAGCAGGAGGCGGGCACGCAGCAGGCAGGCCTGCACACGGGGCGGCAGATGAGGGACATGCAGGAGGAGGACCTGTAGCAGGTTGAGGTGGAGGAGGGTCTATAGCAGGATGAGCGGCAGGAGGAGGGTCTGTAGCAGTTCAAGGGGGCTGGGCAGAGAGTGGCCCTAGAACAGATAGGCCTGTGGCACACCGGTGTGCAGCAGACAGGCACACAGCAGGCCTGCTGGCAGGGGGAGGAGGTGCAGCAGGAGGGCTGGCAGCTAGACTGCTGGCAGCATGAGGGCATGCAGGAGCTGGTGCAGGAGCTGGTGCAGGAGCTGGTGCAGGCTGGTTGGCAGGGGCTGGACCCACAGGTCACCTGGCAGCAGGGGCTGGACATGCAGCTGACTGGGGTGCAGACAAGGGTCAGGCAGGGGGCTGGAGCACAACAGCTGGGGACACAGCAGGAAGGCTGGCAGCAACTAGGGGTGCAGCAGGTGGGCTGGCAGCAGCTGGGCACACAGCAGCTGGGGGTACAGCAGGTAGGAACACAGCAGGTGGGGACACAGCAGGAAGGCTGGCAGCAGCTGGGAACACAGCAGCTGGTGGTGCAGCAAGAGGGCTCACAGCAGCTCTCTGGACAGTCGTCCGCCTGCCAGGAGGATTCAGTACAAGAGTCACAGGACCCGGGCAGGCAGGCGCGGTTGCTGTAGCTCAGGTCGCTGGAGCAGACGGACAGGGCAGAGGCAGCCATGGCGGGGCAGTGGGGCTGGAGGAGGGTATGAGCGAGTGAGTGAATGAATGTGTGAATGTGTGAGATGCTGAGGGCCGTCCGGCTTTTATATGCCCCTCCCTGGCTGTGTCTGTTGTCCCAGCAGCAGGCTCCCGCGTCCCTTCCTTGTTGACAGTGAGAGTGGGTGCTGGGGAATGAGCAGCAGATGTGTTCATCCCAGGCGTCGTTGCTCAGCTCCCCACACTCTCTGCATTGGCGCAGGGTGTGTTTACCTGTTTGCAGTCCTGGAAAGAAATTGTGCCTTGATGTGTTAGCGGGATCCCTAGGGGCCAAGTCGGAGCCCAGGTATGTGGGGCTAGACCCTGGTCCCTGGCTGGGGGAACCCCGAGGTTGCAGCCCTCAGGCGGAACCAGGTCGTGTGCCTTGTGTTTGGAGGCGTATCTAATTTCTAAACAAAGACAGTGTGAGTCATCATGTGCGTGCGATCCTGCATCAGTGTCCTGCGGCCCCATAACAAAGCACCGGGACAGCGGGCCTGGCACAGCAGAAATGTATTTTGTCACCATCTAGAGGCCAAAGTCCCAGGTCCAGGTGCCGGCCGGGTTGGTTCTGAAGCTGTGAGGGAGAACCTGCCTCCCCCTCCCCACCCATCCCCGACCCTGTGTTCTCCCCAGCTTCTCGTGGTTGCTGGCCCTCTTTGGCTTCCTTGGCTAAGCATCACCCCAATCTCCGCTTCCATGTTCACGAGGCCTTGTCCTTGTGTGCCTCTCTGTCCAAATTTCCCCTTTTCATAAGGACACCCATCAGTCATATCAGATTAGAACCTCATTTGAACTTGACTGTATCTGCAAAGACCCTCTTGCCAAATAAAGTCACATTCTCAGGTCCTGGGGGAGAGGGTGTGGCAATATTTGGGGATGCAACTCAGCTTATCGCAAGCACCATGATGCCATGCCAGGGTCAAGGGTGGAAGGAGAGGCTGAGCGGGTCTCCTTTCTCGGGCTTTGGGAATGCTCCGGGTGAAGGACAGGATTTGGCAGCACGCACCTGACTCCTGCTTGTCCACGGATGGCAGAAGCTCCCGGGATGATTTTCTTGAAGTTTGTTTTATCAAATAATCATATAAAAGAGTACAGAGACTTTACCTGTACCCCTTGCCCAGCTTCCTCTGGTGTCCCCGTCTTACATAGCCATAGACCAATTACCAAATTTTAGAAACCACACTGGTGTTCACTAAAGGACTGACTGTATTTGAGTCACCAGTTGCCCACGAACGCCCTCCCTGCATCCCTCACCCCTCATGGCACCTGTCAAGTCTCCTTCTTCTCCTGCCTGGGACAATTGCTCCGTTACCTTGTCCTTTGTGACCTTGACACTTCTGGGGAGCATGGGTTGGGTGGGGCGCAGAACGTCCCTCAAGTTGGGTTTGTCTGATGTGTTCTCACAATTCGCCTGGGGCTGCTATATTTGGGGGCAGAATCTCACTGAAGTCATGGGTCCGGAGAAGCAGGGTGCAGGCTGTCCATGCGTCTTATCTCTGGGAAGGTGACCCTTTTCCCCTTTGTAATTAGTATGTATTGGGGGAGATTTTTTTTTTAAGACTTTAAAAATAGATGTTTCATTGAAACATCTGCTCAACGGCTTCATTGTTTGTCGGGGGCTGTGTGCAGCCAGCCACTGTAGCGTTCTCATGGTGATTTTTTCCCTCCTCAACCCATCGCCATTTCCTAGTTAAAATTCTCCTCTAAGGAACAGTGGTCTCTTCTCCTCCATTTGCTTATTTGTTCTGTTATTTATTTCAATATGGACTAAAAAGTACTCATTTTATTGCATTGGATGGCAATATTATCATTTTCTATTTTTAAATATATATATATATATTTTATTGATTTTTTTTTACAGAGAGGAAGAGAGAGGGATAGAAAGTTAGAAACATCAATGAGAGAGAAACATCAATCAGCTGCCTCCTGCACAACCCCCACTGGGGATGTGCCCTGGACCGGAATTGAATCTGGGACCTTTCAGTCCACAGGCTGAAGCTCTAGCCATTGAGCCAAACCAGTCAGGGCTCATTTTCTATTTTTGTTGTTCGAATCATCCCAACTTTGACCACCAGGGGCGTTCATTTGGCTCTTGGACCCCTTTGGCATGCCACTCTCCCTGACTTCCCACGTTCTGCTGCCAGCTGCCCTTGCGTTTCCCCTGCCCCCTCCCTGGAATCAGCCACTTCTCCAAGGCCCGCTGGTCCCTTTAGGTGATGATGGCAGGTAGAGACCAAGGTCTGGAACCAGGAGTGCTCAGTGCTGCGAGCATGTCACTTCTCCCAGGCGCTCCCCATGGACAGAGCAAGGAGGCACGTGTACGTGGACTCACACATGACTGAACTTGGGAACACATTTAGTCTTTCCCGTGTGGACCACGTTAGCTGCAGTGTTTTCTAGTTTAGCTTTCTCAGGCTAGAAGTTCCCTTTTATTGCTGAGAGAGTCTGTCAAGAATGATGTTGGATTTCATGAAATGCTTTTTTTGTGAGGGATTTTTTTATGGTTAATCCTCATAAGAGGATATTTTTTCCATTGATTTTTAGAGAGAGTGGAAGGATAAGATTTCCAATCCCCCGATCTGGCTTATTATACAGACCCTTGGGACTCAAAGCCCCTCTTTCCAACATCAATTGCTACCCACTCTTCTCATGGGCACTGCTGCCTGACTCTGTACAAATGGCTGGAAATGAACCTGAGACTCTCCACGGCCCACTTGGGCAACAGCCCTTGTGGCTTCAAGAAAGGGCACTGGTTTGACCCCTAAGGGAAGGTGCCCCTGGGATTTCTGGGTCATCCCGTGGGCCAGTGTGCTTTGCAGGGACACCTGTCTGCCCGGCTCCTGAAGTCTGGTCCAACGTGACTGCAGTGGGCAGCCAGGCGCCTCATGCCCAGTGCAGGGCGACAGATGAAGCTGTCCTCTGTGACTGGCCACCTGTTCCTTGTCCACATTTATAGAGGAGAGGCCTGGGGAGGGTTTCATGTGAGCAGGGACATAATCACACCCCCTGGTACACCAGCCTGGGCTGGGCATGGGCAAGATGAGCTGGGATGGCCAGCAGGGAACACTGGGAATAGAAAACGCTGTCCATCATGCCAGCAGGGAATGGTGGAGTCGGTCCCGGTACAGGCAGGAACAAAGCACCCACGCTAGGTGTGTGCCTGGGGACAGAACCAGCCAGTGCCTGTAAACTGCCTGGGACAGAGGAGCCTGGCATGGCTGTGGCTCCTCACTCTGCCAGTCTCAGCTGCAGGGACCTCTGTTGTGTCTCCATGTCTGGTTGGCGATGTGGCACTGCTGAGGGCATCGGGGATGCCAGGCTTGACCTCTCAGCCCCGATGCCTTATGGGTGTGAGCCTGTCCCCTGTGGGACCATGCACTCCGGGGTGGGGGGGGCGGGGGCAGGGCTGGGGCTGGTCCTTCAACACAGCCAGCATAGACAGGTCATGGGGAAAGGTATGAGAGGTCACTGGCAGGTCCAGGTAGAGGGTTAAGTGGGGATAATTATGATACCGGCCCTTGGGGTTCTGGCGAGGATTCTGTGCCATGCTGAGACCTGGCCAGCCACATGGGCACCCTGGAAACGTTCTGGCATAACCCGCCTGTCATTTCCTTGGCACAGATCTGCGCCCCCTGGACATCCTGGCTGAGGCGGTCCCTCCGAATGGCGCTGAGAGCGGCATCCGCGTGACACGGGTCCAAGGAGCGCTGGGCCTCCAGCTCTCCAGCCCCCACGCCATGAGCTTCCCTGCCTCGAGGATTTTCGTCAGATGCGATCTCTTCCCTGAAGAATTTTCCATCATCGTCACCTTGAAAGCTCCCAGTCTCCCCCCTAAGGTCAGTGGCACTTCTCATCTGCGTGTTAGGACAGTTGATGTCCTCGGTGCTGCGTGCGAAAGGCGCGCTGACTCACGTGCAGAGAGGCACCGAGCAAGGTCTCCTGGGCCTCTGGGCTCAGGCCTGCCGGCCTTGATGGGCTGTGAGGTCCCCATCACTGGACTGTGCAGGCAGAACTTGTGTGGCCATTTGCTCTGGCTTTGTGCCAGCAGTTCTTGCCATTATAATTTTCCTGGTGTGCTAACCTGTCAAAGGCTAGGCTAGAAATACCGCTTAGAGTTTTGAGTTTGACATCATTTAACAGGAAAAGTAAACTGTAAACTAACAAAACATACCCTTTTGGGGCCTGATTACCTGTGCCTTGCAGTCCAGCCACCCAGACCCAGCTGGGACTGTCTCTTCCCTGCTGGGCTGGGAGCCCCGGGGAAGGATGTGGCATCTCTTGCCACCGTGCCCTGTGGGTCCCAAGGCAACGTACCTCCTAGGCGCATGACAAACCCTTTCTGTTTACAAGTCCGAGTCCTTCTCTTCCATCACTGCAATCCTCCGTGTGGGTTTTGCCTGTGGACTGTGATTCTGTCTGATCTTTCCTGGGACTTCTGCTCACGAACCTCTCTCCTTTCGCTCCATCGAATCTGCTTCTAACCCAACTGCTGAGTGTTCTGTCACAGCCATTGTGTTTTCAGTCCTGTAATCTCGATGTTCTTCTTTTTCTAAAAATATGAATTCCAGTCCCCAGATAAAGTCTCTGTCTTGCCAGCTACTTTCTTCAATGTGACTCCAATATTTGGAAGCAAGAATTCCTTTCTGCGGAGGACTCCCACATGTGGATTCCCCGAGGGCTGGCTTTGCTTCATCTTTTCATTTCCTGTCATGCCCAGTCCTTTTTTACCAGCCTTATTGAGACACAATAAACAAACCACACCTGTCACCCCTTCACAGTCATAATTCAGTGATGTTTAGCACATTGAACTGACAGGACCAACCCTCACCACAGTGAGTTTGGAGCATGTTCATCACCCCCGAAACAAGCTCTCACCTCCCCCCGACAGCTAATTTACTTTCTGTACCCCTGGGTTTGCCTAGTCTAGACATTTTGTACAAATGGAATCACGTAACATAGAGTTTCTTCTATGGAGTATGTGCTCAAGGTCACCCATATTGTAGCACATGTCAGTACATCATTTCTTTTTTTAAAAAATATATTTTATTGATTTTTTACAGAGAAGAAGAGAGAGGCATAGAGAGTTAGAAACATCGATGAGAGAGAAACATTGATTAGCTGCCTCCTGCACACCTCCTACCTGGGATGTGCTCACAAACAAGGTACATGCCCTTGACTGGAATCGAACCTGGGACCTTTCAGTCCACAGGCCGACGCTCTATCCACTGAGCCAAACCGGTGAGAGCAGTACATCATTCCTTTTTATGACCTAATCATATTCATCGGTACAGATACACTACAATTTGTTTATCCATTCATTGGTTGATGGGCACTTGCATTCTTTCTACCCATTGGCTGTTGTGAGTAATACTGCTATGAACTTTCACGTACATGGTTTTGTGTGGACAAATATTTTTATTTGGGGGATGTACATGCCTAGGAGTGGCATTGCTGGCTCATGGTGACTCTATGATTAACTTTGAGGAACAGCAGTGATTGGGGGTTGCTGTTTCTCCACATCCTCGTCAACACTTGTTATTATCTGACCTTTGTATTCTAGCCATCCTCATGAGCCTGAAATGGTATTGCTCTGAGGCTTTGATTTGCATTTCCCTGATGAGTAATATGTTGCGTGTTTTTCATGTGTGTATCTGTGTATCTTTTTTTGGAGAAATGTCTTTTCAAATCCTTCACCCAGTTTTTTTTAATTTTTTTTTATCCTCATCCAATGATATGTTTTTATGGATTTTGGAAGAGAGAGAGAAAGGAGAGACATCGATGTGAGAGAGTAATGTTGATCGGTTGCCTCCTGTACTGTGGGATCCAAGACAATGCCCTTCCTAGGCGTGTGTCAAACCCTTTCTGTTTACAAGTCCAAGTCCTTGCTCTTCCATCACTGTGACTGGGGATTGAACCTGCAACCTAGGTATGTACTCCAACTGGGAATCCAGCCCAAACCTTTCGGTGAAAGGGATGATGCTCCAACCAGCTGAGCCCCCAGGCCAGGGCCCTTTGCCCAGTTTTTAACTGAGTCATTTTAGTTATTTTCTTTTTATCTTCGTGAGTTACAGGAATTTATATATTCTAGATATAGTCAACTATCACATATGATTAGCACGTATTTTCCCCTGTTCTGTTGGTTGTCTTTTCACTTTCTGGGTAGTGCCCTTTGAAGCACAAAATCACCTTTTAATTTTGGTAGAGTCAGATTTATCTTATTATTCCTTTCATGCTTATATTTTTAGTGTCATATCTTAGAATCTAGTACTAAATCTGAATTCATGAAAAATATACCCAAATTCTTTCTTTTAAGAGTTTCATAGGGTTAGCTCTTATATTTAGATCTTTAGCCAATTGGAGTTCATTTTTTGTGTATGGTATAAGGTAGGGGTCCAATTTCATTCTTTTTGCCTATGGATTTCCAGTTGTCCCAACCCCATTTGTTGAAGAGACTATTCTTTTCCCATTGAATGGTCTTGGCACCTTGTTGAAGACAGCCATACATGTGTGGGTTTATTTCTGGACCCTCAATTTTATTTCATTGATAAATCAGTATTGTCTGTCCTTATGCTGGCCACCACACTGTCTTGATTCCTGTAGCTTTGTAGTAAATTTTGAAGTTGGGAGGTGTGAGTCTTCCAAATTTGTTCTTTTTCAAGATTTTTTTTTCTATTCACTCCTTGTAATTTCATATGAATTGTAAAACCAACTTGTCAACCTTCACTAAGACGTCAGCTTGGATTCTGAGAAGAACTGCACAGATATGTAGATAGATTGGGGGAGTGCTGCCTAATTAGCAATATTGTCTTCTGGTCCATGAACATGGGATGTTTCTCACTGATTTTGAACTTCTTTAACATAAAAACAATGTTTTGCAGTTCTCAGAATATTAGTTTTGCAGTTCTTTTGTTCCTGAGTACTTGTTCATTTCATCTAGTTTATATAATTTATTGGTAAGTCATTATACTGGGTCCAAGTTCTCCCCTTTCCCCTCACCCTGCTCCAATTCCTGCACCTTGTCAGCCCCATAAAAGGACATGCCCACTTGGTTGATACACTTCTGAATTACCAGGACTGCCTGGCAGCCCTGTGACCACTCCAGCCCAATGTCCACTCCACCCCACACCACTCCCTGCCTACGTGTGGGTGTGAGTGAACCAAGCGAGACCTGGCGGAATCAGGGTCCAGAACCCCGAGATCTCACCACTCAGGCCCTCTGCTCCTGCCCAACACGTGGCCTCCCCACCGAGGAGACCGGCCACCCCTGAGGTCCTCTCCAGGAGTACGAGGAGCAGGCCTCTCTAACAATCTGTGGGACCCAACACAATCACAAGCAGCCCTACCAGTGACCACCTCCACCATCTGCCAGAGAGAATCATGGCCACACTCTGCCCCGGCTTATCAAGACCTGTAGGAGTATCCATTGGACCATAGCGGGGCCCTGCCGCCAGCTTCCCTGAAGGCCAAATGGGGGTCAGGCTGCCATCAAGGTCCCCACGGGCATCTGACTCACCTAATGAGGCTTCAGGGCCCTGCGCTCACCCAACAAGGAAAGGGGGCATGTGAGCCTTTTGTGGGGACAACAAAGGCCGGAGACCAGATATAAAAGCGCTGGAGTCCCAGGACAGCTTACACACACTCATAGGCACTCACACACCTGCTCACTCCTCCCAGCTCACCTCCAGCCGCTGCCTCACCATGGCCACATCTGCCCTGTCCGTCTGCTCCAGCAACCTGAGCTATGGCAACCGCACCTGCCTGCCCGGTCCCACTGATTCTTGCACCGACTCCTCCTGGCAAGTGGACGACTGTCCAGAGAGCTGCTGTGTCCCCTCCTGCTGCACCCCGACCTGCTGTGTCCCCACCTGCTGTGTCCCCAGCTGCTGCCAACCCTCCTGCTGCACCTCCAGCTGTTGTGTCCCCACCTGTTGTGTCCCCAACTGCTGCACCATGCCCTCCTGTCTTACCCTCACTTGCACCCCAGTGAGCTGTATACCCAGCTCCTGCTGTCAGACGTCGTGTGGGTCCAGCCCCTGCCAGCCCTCCTGCTGCACCTCCTCCCCCTGCTGCACACCTGTCTGCTGCAAGCCCCTGTGCTGTGTGCCCGTCTGTTCTGGGGCCTCCTCCTGCTGCCAGCCCACCTCCTGCTCCTCATCCTGCTGCAGACCCTCCTCCTGCGTGTCCCTCATCTGCCGCCCCGTGTGCAGGCCCGCCTGCTGTGTGCCCACCTCCTCCTGCTGTGGCCCCACCTCCTCCTGCCAGCCCAGCTGCTGCCGCCCGTCCTCCTGCATGTCCCTGCTCTGCCGCCCCGTGTGCTCCCGCCCGGCCTGCTGTGTCCCCACCTCGGGCCAGGGGTCCTGTTGCTGAGCAAACATGTCCCTCAGGCCCAGCCAGGCTCAGGTCTCACCTTGTGACTGTGGACCTCCCAGCCACCCCTCAGTCTGGTCCTGACCTGTGCTAGATGACTGCCGCCACTCAGGATGCAATCCCTCAGTTTCCACTAACCTGACCTCTGCTCTCCGGACCCCTGGATCTCTCCGCTCCCTCGGCTTTTGCCTCCTACACGATGCCTCCACCTGCCCCTGGACACCTGTCCTTGCCTCCTAGTTTCTCTGTTGGGTCACTTGACTTCTACTCTCAGCTTGTCAGCACCTCATTGGGTATCCCAATAAACTCACCTCAGCACCTGATGGCTTCCTTCATCTGATTCCATGGGGAGGGTGCGGACATGTGGTTTTCACCAGACATTGGTCCCCTCCAGCCTGGGCTTCCTCAGGCTGGTCTCCTGCAGAGAGTCCTGGTCTAAGGAGTGTCAGGCCCAGGGGCCATTCCACCC